TGGGGAGGGTCCTCTGATCTCCTCCTGGGCTGCAGAGGTGGGGCTGGGGTCCTCCATGGATGAGAGGCAACCTGACTTCTGTTTCAACAATGGGCAGGCTCAGGAGGTCTCCTGCTGAGCCAATGCTGTTGGTGATTGGGTCAATGACAAATCTGACAATCTGTTCTTCCAGTGCTTTTCCCATCTACCATCCAGCTGTCCATCTTTTATTGATTAATCCACTTGTATATTCACTGATCAGTTCATCCATAATTCATCCACGGACAGTTTCATTCTTTTATTTGGATTAATTCATTCATGAGTTGATACTATTCACAAGAAGAGTTGAATGGACTGTTGGTCACTGATGACTTGGCTCATTCATTCATTCACACGACACCCACCCATTTTTTATTAACTGGGTTTCATTCCTTTAACCTTCTATCAACCATCTTCTTATTCATCCCACATCCAGCCACCCATCCATCCATCCATCCATTCCTTCACTTATCCACTTAATGATGATTCATTTATCATCCCTCATTTATCATTCCACCCACCCTTTCATTTATTCCTTTGTTTTATCAGACATTCGCTAATTTTATCCATTCACATGGACATGGCCCCCTAAATTCAACATTTATGTGATTATCAATTCATTAGGTTCATTGCTTTATTTGCCAAAGAATCGTTTCTTAATTGATTCTTTATTCCATCCATCTATCAGTTGATAAGCTGAATATACAATACATTCATTTGTTTGCTCATTTCATTAATTATCAATCTTTTCATTCAGGAATTGATCTGTTTGATTGATTTATGCATCCATTTCTTTATCCACTTGCTCATAGATTAATACATTGATCTATTTCACTGTGATTTTCCTGAGGATTGAGTGTGGTGTTCATCTGTAATGAACACACATGCACACAAATACTGGATCATTTTCTGTTCATCTTTGAGGGTGAAGTTTTGACAGGTTCTTAATGTGGAGTTATTAATCTAAAATTCCTTGTGAAGTTGTGGTGGATGTGGGATGTGTGTGCATGTGTGTGCTTGTGTGCGTGCTGTGTGCCTGCAGGGTTTCTGTGCATATAGGAGACAGTTCATTATATTCATTGAATTTGAAAGGGTTAGAATTCTAATTCTTGTTGCTCTCCTCTCATCACCCCAGCTGATTTCTCTGAAGTATATCAATGATGTAAGCTTTTGCCCTAGGATTTTCCTGGCTCACTAACCCACTGAAAACAATGTCACTGGTGAAATGCTTATGTGAAAAGAGGCTCATGGTGCCCCTCTTTGGTGCAGAAAGGGTCCAAAAGGAGATTGAGCAGGTGATTGGCTCACACCGCCCACCAGCCCTTGATGACCGCACCAAGATGCCTTACACGGAGGCCGT